TTTTATTTTTAGTATTTTTTCATTTTTTTATTTCTTTAAGTAATTTAATGTTTTTTGTATTATTAAACAATTAATTCAAACTACTACTCCATTTTTTTTGACATTTCAAATTTCTCTCTATTTTCATCAGTCATTTTTTTTTAGTAAAAGGAAAAATAAAAAAAAAGATAAGAAATGAATATAATAAAAGAAAAGAAATAAATAATTCCTTTTATGTTTATTATTCATAGTTTATAATAAAACCAATAACTCTCAAAATAAGCAGATTAGTATATGAGTTCAACATTAAATTAGTTTGAATTTAAAAAAATAAATAATTATTTTCTTTGTGGTTAAAATAATTTATAAACTTTTTCTTAAAAAAAACCTCCCTTATTTAATCTAAATTTAAACCAAATCAATTAAAGTTTTTCAATAATTCCAATGAGTTTGTCATTATCTTCAGCAGAAGTAAAACATAGTGTGTAATATTTAGGGACAATCTTATTTGTTGTATTATCCTTTTCAAAGCATTTGAACACACATCTATTTGAAGTTGCTTTTTTAATAGAAACAACTCCCTTTTGTAAATAACAGAGAACAAATGGAGACCCTGTAGCGGTATTCATAACATTTAGTTGAATTTTGCCATTTTGTTTATTCTTAATCACACTAAGTGTTGCCTCAGACCCAAGAGCTCTCCATTCAGTACTAATGACTTTTCCTTCTTGATTTTTCTCTTGATACAAACGAGCAATCTTAATAACACTTTGCATTACATATTCTTGGTTTTCATCAACCTTTTGTTCTTGAATTTCCATCTTAATAACTGGCTTAAATTCAGTTTTATTTTCTTCTTCTTCTAATTTATCATCATCTTTTTCAGTTGTATTATTGTTTTGTGATTGGTTAAATGGATTTCCTAAATTAGAACTATTTCCAAAACTAAATGCATTATTTGTACTTGAACTATTATTAAATGAACCTAAAGTATTTTGAGCCTCTTCTTTAGGTTTTTCGTTATTTCCAAACCCAGTAGATGCAAAACAATTTCCAAAAGCAGCATTGTTAAACCCATTTTCTTGAACCTTTTTATCTTCATTATTTTCATTATCTTTTAGTCCAGCAAATAAATTCTTTGAAGATTGTCCTTCTTTAGAAGATTCGTTTACCTTCTTATCAGTGGTTCCAAATCCATCAAATGAAAAGTTTCCAAAGATAGAAGTTGAAGTATTTTCATCTTTTTTCTTGTCAGTGGTTCCAAATCCATTAAATGAGAATCCTCCAAAAATATTATTTGTTTGATTTTCCTCTTTTGGTTTTTCATTGCTCTTAGTTTCAACAGTACTATTAAATCCATTAAATGAGAAATTAGTGAAAGGATTAGAAGCAGTATTAGTCTGTTCTGTTGGTTTGTCGTTGTCTTTTTTCTCATTTTCCTTTTGATTTGTTTTTTCAGCACTCGAAGAAGTACCAAAATTGAATCCTTTTCCAAAATCAATATTTCCGAAAGAAAATCCATTTGATGTATTTTCAGGTTTTGCTGTTTCATTCGTTCCAAAATCAAATTTGAATCCATCTTTTGTTACTTCAATCTTTTTTTCTTCAACTACTTTTTCATCTTCTAACTTTGCAGTAAGTGAAGGAACTTCTTTTTCTGTTGGAATTGTTGGAGCTTCAAATAAAACAAATTCACGTTTTTGTGGAGTATAATATTTATTTTCAAAAGGTCCACTTTGTGTATCTTCTTTTGTAACTTGTTGTGGTTGCTCTTCAACTTCTTTTTCAATCTTTTCTTCTTTAGGAGGTTCAGCTTGAAGCCCTAAACTACCAAAAGAAAAAGTGCCAGAAGCGAATGGGTTTGATTGGTTTTGTTTTGTCCCTGAACCAAATGATGAAAACCCATTAAAATCTCCTTGTGATGGAATTTTAAAATCTGCAAATGAATTTGAAAATGCAGGAACAGAATTATTGTTTACATTTAATTCTACTGTCTTATTAGTATCTTTAGGTTTGTCTTCCCTTTCAAAAACACTTTGTCTAACTCTTTTTTGAACAGTAAATTCATTAGAATCTCCAATAGACATTTTGGGAGGTACAGAAATTGGTGCGTTGAAAAGAGCATCACCAAATGAATCACCATCATGAAGATTATCTTTTTTGTTTACAAAAACGGTAAGTCTATGTCCATCTGCCTTTTCTTGAACAACAGGCTTTGAACTTCCAATAAGCTCAACAACAGAAGTTCTTTTGGGTTGTTTTCTTAAAACAGGGTTACTGTCTCCTTGAATCTTTTCAGATGAATTTTCATTTCTCAAAGCAATACCTCCCCATAAATTCGTTTGTGTTTCTGGTTTATTTTCTTCCTCATGAATTCCAGAAAAACTTTCTTCTTGAATAGAGACTTCTTTCTTTTCATCTCTTTTTGATGCCAATATTTGTTGTTCAAGAAGAGATCCATTTGTTATTTGTTCCATTCTTTGTTCTAATTGTTTAGATGATTGAGGTGGGAAAAGAATATTAAATCTAGTTGCATACTTAGAAAATACAGATTGTCTATTTATAAATTTCGTGATTTTTTGTGTTTTTTAGATTTAATACAGAGAATATGATCACACAAACCTAGATTTCATGACTGATTTTTAAGTTCTATTGATAAGATTAAAAGTGAGATAAAACTTTATTATTTCTTTTACTATTGAAAACTAGTTTTTGATAAATAACAAACAAATGAGTAACCCACTAGTTAAAATCACATTGAATAATTCAGTTAATTCTTCTAGTGAAACGATTCTTGATAATAAAATTGATGGACCTATTACAATTGAGCAAACTATGCAAGCAGTATTAGATGCACAAAACACTGTGAATTCCAAATTAACTGAAATATTAAAACAAAATAAGTAATTTGAAGGTATTTTTTTGTTTATAATTAATAGAAGATATTTTACATTAACAAAAGAGAAATAGATAAGAAGAAGCTAATACAAGAAGAAGAGATAAAGCTTCAATTAAAAATAATAAAATGAAAAACATCAACAAAATAAGATTGAAGTTTCATTTCTATTTTTTTTTTTTATTTGAAAACTTTTTGCTTTACTCTAAAAAGGAAAGAACAAAAAGGTTATTAGAACTTATTAATCAGTTAATGGTTGTTATTGTTCATTGCCATATGTACTTAAAAGAAGACCCAGAGTTACTTGCTGAAGTAACAACAATGGTTAATGCTAGTAGAAAAGATCCTGGTTGTATTTCATATTCATTTGTAAATGAAGTAACTAATACAACTCATTATATTATGATTGAAGAATGGGAATCACAAGAAAAATTAGACGCACATATGAAAACAACTCATTTTGCTCAATTTATTAATTTTATAAACAAAATTTCAACTAAAGAATCTAACATTGAAGTGTTAACTGCAACTAAAGCTTAAAAAAAAAATTAATTTTTTTTTACTTTTTATTTAAGAAGCTTATTTTTATTTAAGAATATTAAAGAATAACTTTAAAGACAATATCACCTTGTAGCATATTTATTGATTTATTTCCATCATTTTTGAAACAGACATAATAAGGTGTTTGTGCGTAATTTGGTATTAAATACACTTTTTTATATTTTATCATAAATGAATTATCATCTTCTATTTCTCTTAAAATTAAAATTGGTTGATATGTTAATAATTCATTTTTTTGAATAGAAATAAAAGTTGTAGGTGTTTTGTTAAGAGGTTCTAAAGAAGTTCTAAAAGAATAATTAATATTATATTCTTCTAATGTCCTAAAAATTTGCATATTTTTGTATTGTAAAAAATTTACATAAAGATCTCCATAACGTTGTTTATTTTTTAAAAATATTCCACATTCTTTTAATATAATAAGAGAATTTTGTGTTATATTAGGTAAATGTAATTGTTTAATATTTCCATTTGGTAATAAAATTGAATAATTATTATCTTCTAAAGTAAATACTGAAGTATAAACAATATCTCCTTCAATAACAAATTGCGGTGATGGTTTAATTTCAATCATAAAATAATATGTTGTAATAAATTTTTTAATTTTTATAATATCTCCTTGTTTTACTCCTTTTTCTATTAGTATTTTTTCATTTCTTTCATTTTGTTTTGTTTCTATTTTTCCATTTTTAAAATCAAAAAAAATTTCTTTACCATTACAACTTTCTTCTAATGTTATTTCAAGCGTAATTTGTTTTATAATACCATTCCCTTGTCTTTCTAATTCTATTATTTCTTCATTATTAATTATTAAAGTCCCAATAGGAAGATTTCCACTGATAGAAAAAGAATTAATTTGTATTGGTTGATATTCATATGAAACTTTTTTCATTTAAAAATAAAAAAAAATTTTAATTTTTTTTTTATTTTTATTTATTTCAACAGCGAAAGGATGAGATTAATCTCACCTGAGCAAACAACAATAGAAATCAATTTTATTAGTACTTAATTAATTGTTTTAGTTATTTTTTATAAAAGAAATACATCTTGAAAGAAAGACGACACTGTCTTCTTTAGTTAATCCAACTATGGAAAAACTAAATTCATTAATTTGGACGACTTAGTCAAACAGGATGTCCGAAGAACCAACAAGAAAAAATCTAAAGTTAGTACTTCTCAACATAAAAGAAATATTCCTTCAAAGTTAAGATTGAGTCGTACGTCAAGAGAAGTTGTGACAATTCCCTATTGAATGAGGTCTCATAGAAGAATGTAAATTATATTTACTTAATCAACCATTCCTGACAAAATGTCCTATATAACTATTTTTCTGTTACTCGTTATCAAGGCTTTAAGAGTACATCCCTTTCCATGCACTGAACTGTTGAATCGTTTAGCTGAGTTAAAAATTACTTTTGGATTTGAAATTACTTACATTTGGTTGTAACTATTAAGCATAATCATTTTTGGTGATAAAAAATTAGGGTGTGTATTGGTTATCCCAAGACGTTCAGTTATAGTTTTATCCTTTTACTATGAAGTCATGAATTTGTGTAGCTTATTACTCTCAAGATGTGATGTGAAACATTTAAGATTTACTCTCTATTGTATCACTTCATTAAAAAAAGGTTTTGGAACGTGGTTTATAATACTACCAGCATATCTTGGGACATGATGTACTATTTTACTGGAAAATAGCCTACACCTGCTATACAATTGAATGATGTGATATCATTTAATAGCAGCTTTGCTGAAACAATTAAAGTAATATTAGAGTGTAATATTTATTATTTTTTCTTGATGTTATTTTGACGTGTTTTTTTCAAGGATTTACTTCTACATACACAGAAACAATGAACTATTTGTCTTGTCAATAATCTATTATTACTTCAAATAATTCAGAGTTTCCATACTGAAGGGGATCGAATGAATTTAACAAGTAAAAAAACATTTATATATCAATTTAATGTAAATTTCCATTAAGTAACTCAAGACAAAGAGAATATCTGATAGACCAAAAAATATTTATTTTTTAATGAAAAAAAAGTTTCAAAGTAGAAAAAAAAATTCAATTAAAATACTTTAAATAGAAAATTTCATTGTTGATAGTTTCTTTTCATATGCATCTGACATTGTTTTAGCAAGATTCCAAACTTCAGAATTAGGGGCATTATATTTAAATGCATTATTCCAAACTAAATCAATATCAGAAAGTATTTCATTTACATTTTTATAAGTTTTATCTTTTAATTTATTTTTTATTGTTCCAAGGTCCATTGGATGTTTAATGATATCAAAATAATTAATTGCACCTGTTAATTGAGGGTCAACTGGTTCTTTAAATGCGAATGATGCTTTATTTCTTAATAAAGAAGAAAGAAGTTTATTAATCAAAGAAGTATTTTGACTGTTTAGAGGGAATTGAGTATCAAAACGATTTGAAGAAATTAATAATTCATCTTCAATACCATTAGAAGTATCTTTTTTTGATAATTTTTTTTCTTTATGAACATTTGTTTCTAACAGTTCTTTAGTATTTAATTTTTTTGGTTTTTTTTCTTGATGAAGAAGAGTAACTGTTAAATCTGTTTCAATTGGTTTTGTTATATTTTTTTTTGTTTTCTTTTTCTTTTCAATATTCTTTTTTTCTTTTATAATTTCAATGTGTTTATTCATTGAAAGTAATATATATGGTAATAACTTTCCTACAAATGAATAATCTTTTTTATTTATTATTTCTTTTAAACAAATTTGACTTATACTTTTAAAATATTCTTCATAATATCTTCTATGTGCTTCATTTAAAAAGAATTCTTCTACTAATGCCCAGTTATCATATATATTTGATTCAAAGTCATTTTTAATTCTTTTAATAATACAATAAAATATACTACTAATTGGTTCATTAATCCAATTCTTTTGAATAAAATGAAGTAATTCTAAACATTCTTTCATTTCCATTTCAATTTTATTTGTATAACACCATGTAATAAATCCTTTTAATGTTTCTTTATTTAATTCAATCATTGGTTGTTTTTCTAAACTAAAGTATTGATAAAAATATGAACACCGTGTTGATAAAATAAATTTATATACTTTCATTTCTTTGTCTCCTTCAAATGAATAATCACCATCTCCTGATTCATATAATTCTTTAAAAAATGTGTTAACTGTTTCTTCATTCATTGTTATATCTTCAACATCTCGTAGGTGAAGATTTGATATTGAAATTTTCCCTTGTTGTATGTCTTCTGCAAGACCAAACATTTCTTATTGAGTTGATAGTTTTTCTCTTTTTATTTTATTTGTTTTATATAACATCATTAATTCAATTTATCTTCGACTTATTGCCTTTTTATAACTTCAAATTATTACTTCAAAGTATTGGTAATGTTAAAAAAAGGTAATTAATACGTGTATTTGTAAACTGATTTCTTAAAGATTTATGACATTCATTTCAATTATATTTAATACCTTTTTTATCTCTCTGTATATTTTTGCTCCTTTTTGAATGTTCTTATATTAATAGGTTATTATAGTTTATAATATAAATTACTATTATATTTCATGTTTTTTTTATTGTTATTTTTATTATATAATTTTAAATTGTAATATAATTATTTTAATAATCTATATTATTGATTGTATATGTAGTAATTTAATTAATAACATTTATACTTCTTATATATTCACCACACTCCTTTACATCATGCTTTCTTTCATTTAAT